TGAAGATTTGTAGAACGTACCGAAAACTCCCCAAAGGGCGCCTGAAAATGTGATGTCTGAAGTCGTCTTAACGCAATTTTCTGGTTAAGAAGTTTCTTTTCGATATTACTAATTGCATTCTTGCGCCTTAATTTTTTCGTCAGCGTAGTTTCCCTTGGTAACTCCGTGAAGTGTTCCAAATCGGTCTTTGTGTCCTCCTTATCGAGAGATGAATTAGCCTCATCCTTATATTCGAGTATAAACCATAGCCAAAAGGAAAGAATAAATAGATTTTGTTATTTTCTCATGTTAATTTACGGTTAACGATGCAAATTCTAAAATCGCATCCTGAAGCCATGTTGGAAACTCAACAAACAAAAAACAAGGTCTGTCGTAGAAAAACTATGAAAATGAGGATTCACGTTTCAGTTTGCCACTTCGTGAAAGTTGCCAAGTTTTCTTAACTTTCCAGACTTATGCTTCAAAAATTTGCTCCAGGACGGGAAAATTACCTCGAATTGCTGATATTACAAATAAATACTGTTGTTACCTTTAACCTTCTCTCCTAATTTATTAAGCTTTCAGGGGGTCTGCTCAGTTATCCGCACATACCATCTGCCATTTGTCAGAGCCTCGCCAGCGCCTGAGTTCCTGGACAAAACTCTCAACGTTCTGCTGCCTCGTATCAAAGTTCCAGGTCTTGAAATCACTCTTTTCTGACTGTTCTTCCGGCATGTTTTCCGACTTTCCAGTCGCACTCCTCCTCCTCCTGCCACCCTCATGACCAGTAGGCTCCGTTACTGTTGCTGTTGCCTTGGTGACCGAGGCATTTGTGATGCTAGTGGTGGTCTTCTCTGTCTCCAGAGGCGGTAGCAGAACAGTTCTGAACAAACCGGCGGCGGGAACCGCGGCGTTCTCCGCAGTGTTGGTTGGAAATAACGACTGTCGCTGACCATTCGCTGGTTTCTGGAGGATGTGACGATACATAAAGTTCAGGAAGTTTTTTTCTTCCTCAAGATTCCTCCTCGTTTGTTCTTTTCTCTGTTCGTGAAGCTGAATACTCTGTTTGTATACCTGGGATCAGGCAGTTGCCAGAAGAATTTGCATTAACAACGTCTGTTGTAGTTAACTTAGGAAAACGTAGCAAGCCGAAGTAAACTCAGCTGCCTCTTATTCGCTCGAAAAAAGCGCATAATCAAAATATACTCTGCTTGATGGCTGTGTTTCTTTTCAAAAACTGTTAACCTTTCTCGCGGATGCGGTTACCTGGTTGCTATAAGCAGAGACGACTTTCGCCGTAATTAGATCGGAATTTTCGCACATTGACCTACGGATGCAAATCGCTATGATTAGGTGGGGAAGTGCAACAGATCCTGCCGTTCTAATTCAGATATCCAGATGAACTACGTTGGGAACTAGGGGTTCTGAAGAAAACTCTGTTCATGAAAGTAAGGTCACTCGTAGGCTGTCACCCACAAAATCAATAGTGGGACGGTGAAACTGTGATTAGACTACTGAGGGACGTGCATGTCCATTCTTTGTTGGATCGAATTATAGCGGTCCTAGGTTAATTGACACGGGAAGTTTCGACAAAGATGGATATGATTTCATGACAGAAGGGCTATCCGAGTAAAATAAGATATATTGTGGGGCTAGATCGCAGTTGGTAGCCAGGCCCCGTATTACAGGTGGCTGGGGGGGGTTGCTTACTGGGGCTATTTTGTGGGGTTCCAGAATCACATCTGACCCATTTGGCTTCTGTTTTACGTTTGAGGTTAGGATTAGGGTGCCGGTTAGTGGTTTCCGATTTTCGGGCTAGGTTTATGCCTTTAGGCTTAGGTTTTCGGGTCAGGTTAGCGTTTGAGCGTACGATTAGGTTTCAGTATTACGGTTAGATTTTTCAGTTACGACTATGTCTAGGGCTACGGTTAAGTTTACGATTTCGGTTAGAGTCAAGGTTGTCGTTAGGGCTAACGATTAACGTTTAAGGTTGAGGTTAGGGTTAGGGTTAAGACTAGGATTAGGGTTAAGGTCGCCGTCCGCTTCCCCATTCCTGGCTACCAACTGCGATCTAGCCTATTGCGGATCGGAAGCGGCACTTGTAAGACAGGACAACGCGGTCCTCTCAGGACGGATAGTTAGACTCAACGGCTCCTTCTCAATGTGATCTGTATGGCAGTCCTACTCGGGCAGTATCCGAGCCGCCATATTGTTTCTGTAGGAATTTGGTCTACCGTGCGCAGATCTGGTCGTGCGTGACGCGAGCAGATGGGCTGTATGAGCGAGGGATCACATTCTTTCATAAAGGACACGAGCAGTACCGAAACTCCTCGGGAAGAGTTTCCTCCATAATATTACTGGCTTAAGTTAAATCCGTCAACTTATTAAAATTGAGGTCTAGAACAAAATCTAGTCATTCATGGACAGAATGACTGTAACTTTCAAAGACTTTTCTTCGTGTTATGGA